GATCAATATAGAATAAGACATGCACAATACATGAAATTTAACGAGGTTCAACCTTATTTATCTCCATAAATGAGAAGAATAATAATCCACTATAAATGTAGAGATCATGAATGATACAAATACATAATTTCTCATGTATGTAACATAAATCATCGATGAAATAACAACTTATTTCAAAAATAATAAAAATAAGCATTCTTTTTTAATATATCACGTCAATATACACAATCAGTACACCAAACAAAATCTTTTTAAGGAAATAAGCAATTCGGGAGTACAACATCTATGAAGATGATGCTAAAAATGTTAAAGAATAGGGTTAATTATTTTAAATACCACTTACCTTTAAGTTCGGGCTCGTTTATGTCACTAAAGTTTTAATTTTGTCAACTTTAACACTGACGTTTATGTTTAAATGCAATTATGTCACTCCGCCGTTAATCTATTAACGGGACAATGACATGACATCTCGTTTCCGTGACGACAATGACATAGCTCCCTCACCAAAATGACGTCGTTTTGGCACGACCATTTTGATGCTCAAGAAGCTCAAAACGATGTCGTTTTTGTTGATAAAAAACTTCTTATGAAATTCGAACCATAAACCTTTAAAACTCAAACCTAACAACCCAACCACCAAGATAACATCAGAACTTGTTATAAACTTAACAATACTATTATAAATGTTAAATAACAGTTTGAATTTTTAATTTTTATGAACACAATCTTCATCTTCTTCCTTTCTTCCTCAACAAAACCCTTTAAAGACAACCCAGCATCATTATCTGCCCCGACCCAAAGTCGGAGAAAAGTTTAAACATGAGCTGGGAAAATACATGATTTTGCTTGGTCCTATAAAAAACGAAGGAAATTTGTTTAACCTTTACAATACAAAGAGAAAATGAAAAAAAAAGGTGTAAGATTATAATAAAGCGTTTGCTTTGTTTCAAGGTACGGTTTCACTTTCAGTCTTGACCAAAACACTGGGAAATTTAGAGATTCAATGCTTCACGCCTCTCTGCCTCCCACACTGTCATTAGAACAGACAAAAGGGCGACATTTTTTATGTCTTTTTTTTTGAACGATCAAGGAACATAGAAAATTTGAAGAATTCAAGTAATGAAACAAAATGAGTTTGAATACACCAACTGATCGGAATCGGATGGCATTAATGGAAGGAAAAAACAGAGTCAAGTTCAGAGTTTTATTTTAGCAGTTAGACGTTCATAAGAATCCCAGTAAGTCGGCCGGATTTTGCGTCAAAATTCCAACAAGGAAGCACCAAAATGTGTTAAACAGAGGAACAAATCGTAATCAATATATAGTTGCATATATAAATTATATGTATGTAAAAAGAATCAGTAATTACCTGAATCAGCAGATAATGATGCTGGATTTTTCTTTAAAGGGTTTTGTTGAGGAAGAAAGGAAGGAGATGAAGACTATGTTCATAAAAATTAAAAATTCAAACTGTTATTTAACATTTATAATAGTTTTGTTAAGCTTATTATAAGTTCTTATGTTATCTGGTTGGATGTTTAGGTTTGGGTTCTAAAGGTTTATGGTTTGAATCTCATAAGAATTTTTTTTCCATTAACAAAACGACGTCATTTTGGTAAGGGAGCCATGTCATCACCGTCACGGAAAATAGATGCCATGTCATCGCTCCATCAATGGATTATCGACGGAGTGGCATAATTGCTGTTAAACATAAACGTCAGTGTTAAAATAGATAAAATTAAAACGTTAGTGGTATAAACGAGACCGAGCTTAAAGGTGAGTGATATTTGAAGTAGTTAACCCTAAAGAATAATAGTAGAATATATGAAAATATCGTTGTAAAGGGAAAAACCCTAACGTGGAATCGTATACCATATCAAGGGTTGGAATTTGAAAGAGGAGCTGGAAACTGCAAAAATAAAAGAAACATTGTTCATATAGACCTCCGGTCATTATTCCCCAAGTGCCTTGAACAACAAAATCATATGCAGGTAAATTGTATATATATTGATAATTAGTTTTAGATATTTTCAAATTATCATATATTTTTTATTAATAATATTTTTTCACACTTTCTAAAATTTTATAAATTCACATATAAAACAAGATTTACATATGTCAGTAATTATATACAAACATGAAATGAAAGCAAGTGGATGAGTGAATATTCTAGATGTCTAATCTCTCCATGGCAGGAGCAATGGGCGGTGTGATATATGAAGAAGAAAAGCCTGCCATAGCCCATAGCTAAGGTTGGATCGACCATCGTACGTTGTTTATAGAGATATGGCATTTTCGAACATCTTTTGCTGATTTTATTTGTTTCCCGTGCAGACTGATTTTAACACGGCCACCCATGCTATCCATGTTAGAATATGTTTTGATGGATTTTCATTCACGTGTGATTGATGTACAAATATTTTCTATAATTTCTCATAAAAAAAATATGAGAATCTTTAGTCGGATTATTAAAATGTCTTGTCCATTTGATATTGGATTTGATTTTCTAGGTTTTTTTTTTTTGAAATTTGCATAAATATACTTTCCTTGTTCTTGGAAATAGATTGGTTGGTTGATCGGATGTATAAGTGAAGGTGTTGATAGCTAATAACATATATTTTTGAAATTTGTTAGAAGTATTATATAAAAGGGTAAAGTACATAAATGGTCCTTCAACTATAGGGTAATACTTTGTTGAGTCCCTTTGATTATTGAAAATTATAAAATAGTCCTTTGACTATAGGACGCTATTTTGTTGAATCTCCGACAATTAAAAGTTACAAAATTGATTATCTAACTACTCATGTTTCAAGCTTGTCTTTTTCTGTTAAAAAAATTGATGGTCGCCTGAGTTGAATATTAACTTATTGAATGAAATATGATAAAATCTAATCTCATAACCGTTTGAGTTGTATTTTGTGGGTCGACACCCCGTTTACATCATGCCATCGAGTCAATGCTTAAAACATTATGTTGTCGAACCAGTGCTTGAAATCATTGACAATGCTAGTAGACATCATTAAAACACGATTTTATCATATCTCAGACAACATGTTACCGTCCAGTGCAGACGACAGTTAGTATTTTAACAGAAAATGATGAGTTTGAAATATACAAATAACGAGAATCCTCATCAACCATTAATTTATTATTATTATTTTCATTTGAATAATTCATGGGAAAATATTTTTTATACAAAGAAAAATCACATTTTTAAAACGGAACAAATGTTATGGGGTAAAAATATATATTTTCACATGTACTAATTTTTTTTGAATTAATTACTGGTATCCGATCTATTGATCGACTAATCCAGTTCGGATACTGCATAGGCGAGGGCGACCCTCCCAAAGCAGTTTGCTCTATTCGCAAACTCCAAATTCAAACCCCTGACCTTGCTTAAGGGACCTAATGCCTCATCCCACTAGACCACCTGGTTGTTGGTTACTAAACTTTAATTTCCTATATGAGTGGATTATATTGAAGCGACAGACATTTGTTTAATTTTGGGTTTAAAATCTTATACTATCCAATAATCACATTGAGTTTCAATTAAATTTAGAACCATATGAGATCAGACTCATGAACATTTAAATTTAAAGAGCATGAAATTCCTTACCTGTCGACTTAGCAGGAGTTGATGAGACTTTAGAGAATTTTCTTGTGATGAATTTGAGAAAATCTTCTTAATATAGTAAAGATGTCGGGTCTTATTTGTGAAAAAGAAAAAAAAGTTAAAGGCATATATTCTCAATTCTCGTAATATGATCGGATGTCGTCCTTTTGTTAGAAGCAAATATTTCCAAGCTTTCACATAATCATTAATTTAAATTTTGCAAAATTTAGAAAAGAGACATGGTGACCTGGATAGAATGATTGGTCCAAATAAAATCTTTGGCTGCAGGTTACATATAAGTTATTTGGCCGACAGGATACCCTAATTGAAAGAGAGAATAATGTATTGTAATGTTTTGATGGAACATTGATATTTGGGAACTAAGTTGATAAATCAAATTAGAAATTTATTCTTTCGACTTTTATTTTATACACGAGCAATATTCAAATAGAATTCGAAGAAAATAGATGCGATAAGGTAAAAAAAAGTTTTATTTTAATTCCTTGCTACTCCTAGTTAGAAAGGAAATGAATTATTACTGACGAGCCATAGCAATTGCACCCATCAAAGCAACTAAAAGAATTATCGAAATGAATTCAAATGAAAGGAAAAAAAATCTAGTGCTAAATGAATTCTAATTTGTTGATTGTTACTTATTAAATCTTGTTCTATAATTTGGTTTGATCTTGCGGTTCAAATAATCTCGTACCATTATATATCTAACATAGTAGTAATTAGCGAAGCAAGAATACTTATACAAACCAACGGAGTAAGGCCGTTAAAGTAACGATAGTTAACAGTTCAGTGATCGAATTAAAACTAATTGATAACGTAAATTTTAATATTTTGAATTTTGATGATTGAAATAAGACAAAAATAAATTAAAAGTGAATTCCGTAATAATTTACCCAAAAATCAAACTTGATTTAATCCAATAATAAAAATAATTATTTTTTCTTTGCAAATTAATAAAAACAATTTAATTGAATCAACTTACCTAAGTGGTTAAAGGAATCATTGTTGTTCTTGGAGGTCACGAGTTTGAGCACCAACGATTGTAGCAGGGTGATTGAATGTTCATTGTCAAATGGTTGAGAGTATTTAGAATAAATACTACTTTGCAATCACCTTAATTTAATAAAAAAAATTAATTCTCAAATTTAAATAAACAAAATTGACAAACAAATTTTTAAAACAGACAAATGAACACCACAGTGATTTCAATGATGTATTTTTGGTGAAAAAAATAATTTGTATGCATGTTGGTTTTCCATATGAATGGAGAGGCCCACAAATCGTGCTTTGTAAAGGCGTATTCTTACAGGCAATCTCTTTATAATAATCTCTACTCTTCCTCTTCCTCGATGCAACCTTTTTCTTAGCTATGGATTTAGAGTGTGGAAGTGAAGAACCAGCAAAACAAGGCCTGCTTGCTCGTTTATGGCCAAAGATTAAAACCTTCAGCAACAATGTCAAGTCCGAGGTGTTTGAATTCTTCACAACCTTAAGAAAGCTCGGCCAAGATGATCCCAGAAGAGTCGTTCATTCATTGAAAGCCGGGCTCGCACTCACCTTGGTCTCATTGTTTTATTATTACCAACCATTGTACGACAGCTTCGGCGTTTCCGCAATGTGGGCTGTAATGACCGTCGTCGTCGTCTTCGAATTCTCCGTCGGTATGTTTCGTCACACCTTATACTCCAAGAGGTTTTCGATTTTCTGATGTGAATAACAATTTCTTCCAACAGGAGCTACTCTTGGGAAAGGTGTGAATAGAGGATTGGCAACGTTGTTTGCTGGTGCTTTAGCTGTTGGGGCGCATCAACTGGCTAATCTATCGGGACGGATAGGTGAGCCCATAGTGCTGAGCTTCTTTGTCTTCCTACAAGGTATAATAAAACCGGCGCTTGAAAAATTTATGCACCCGAAATTCTCTTCGACTTACGGATTCTAATATGCAGCTGCGATATCGACGTTTGCGAGATTCTACCCCAAAATCAAGGCGAGATACGATTACGGGCTGTTGATATTTATCTTGACGTTCTCCATGATATCGATATCGGGTTTTCGGGACGACGAAATACTGGAACTGGCTCACAAGAGACTGTTAACCGTGCTCATAGGTGGTTCAACCTGTGTCACAATTTCTGTTTTGATTTTCCCTGTGTGGGCTGGTCAGGACCTTCACAACTTGATCGCTTCCAACATGGAAAAGCTCGGCATCTTCCTAGAAGGTACCCGATCTTTCACTACTTGGTCCGACTCGACCTATCAAATTCGAGTTCTAAAATACAATGTTTACAGGGTTTGGAGATGAATACTTTAAAATGGCAGAGGACGGAGAATCGAAAGAAGGTAGATCCTTCTTGCAGGGATATAAAAGCGTTCTTAATTCAAAGAACAACGAAGAGGCCTTGGTGGGTTAAAAATACACTTGCTCTTTAAATTCCATCTCTCATTGGAAAAGCTTGCTTAATTTTTCTTTAATTATCAGGCTAACTTCGCAAGATGGGAGCCGAGGCATGGTCGATTTCAATTCCGACATCCATGGAAACAGTACCTAAAGATCGGAGCTTTAACTCGCCAATGTGCATACCGAATTGAGTCACTAAATGGACACATACATGCTGGCATTCAAGTATTCTATCTAAAATCTCCACGTCTCAAATTCATGTATTATATCAATGCTGACATTTCATTTTTATGGTAACATTTGCAGGTAAAACCCGAAATCCGATGTAAAATCCAAGAGACATGCACGAGAATGAGCATGGAATCTGGTGAAGCGTTAAGGGAACTATCGATGTCGATCAAAACGATGGTGAAACCGTTTGCTGCCGATATCCGTATCGATAACTCGAAATCGGCAGCCAAGAACCTCAACTCTTTGCTCAAATCAGGGTTATGGGGTGATGAAAGGGACCTGTTGGAAGTGGTACCGGTGGCCACGGTAGCTTCGTTGTTAATTGACGTGGTTAGCTGCACGGCCAGAATTGCTGAATCTGTTCATGAACTTGCGACTATGCTGAATTTCGAAGCCGTTGAGCCACTTGTCTCACCGGAGACGGAACCTGAAATTGTGATATCATAGTCCAGAAGATGGGAATTCAGCTTCCACGTCCATCAAATAATAAACCTACCAATAAATACTAACCACAACTACAAACTTTAACATCGAGATCGTGTTTAGGGTGAATCAAATATTAGCCGCTACTGGAAACTTCAACCACAGCGATGAAAATGCTTAAATATTATTGTTGTATAGATATACAGGTTATTATTTGATATATTTGCGATATAAAATTAATTTATTTATAATAATATATATTATGCTACTCTCTTTCCATATCTTTTGTGGAATTTCAAGCGTCTGGTGTTTTTGATCATTTGCCCGGTTTTTGTCTGGTTGAAGAAGTCTGTTCCTACGAATAAACTCAAAGCTTTCAAATTCTTTGACTCTAGGTCTACATGTTGAAGGGGATCCTATGTTGATTCTCTTTACCTGTATGGCTAAGTTTAGAAGGTTGCTTGAAGAGCAGTAAGTCCATAATCTCTCTAAGAGTGGGGATGGGAAAAGTGCTGTTGAACATATTAGCAGCCGGCGGCTTTTATTATGGTCAAAAGGGGCTGTTAAGGGGTAATTTTTTTATTATTTTGTAATAGAGATAATTACAAAATTGAATCATTGAATTTGAGGGTATTTTCAAATATTAGTCCCTAAACTTCAACTATAAATACCCTAGCTCATTTAGCTTCAAAATCATTTCAAATCATTTCTTTCTCCCAATACTAGAGAGTTTTCTTGTGAGTAGTGAGTGTTTTGTAAACACCTGTAAATTTTCTCTCTTAGTAGAAGATCTGTAGCAGTCCAGAGACGTAGGCAAAATTACTTGTACTCGGGTTTATTTCCCAACAACCAGATTAGTGAGAATGTGAAATAAAAACGGAAAAATAATATCAGAAATTGATAACGGAGTTCAGCCAATTATGCTTAAGTCTCTGGACTGCTGCAGATTTTTTACTAAGAGAGAAAATTTACAGGTGTTTACAAAACACTCACTGCTCACAAGAAAACTCTCTAGTATTGGGAGAAAGAAACGATTTGGGATTTTGGGATGATTTTAATGCTAAATGGGTTAGGGTATTTATAGTTGAAGCTTAAGGACTAATCTTGTAAATACCCTAAAGTCCAGTGACTAAAAATAATTTTCCCATGCCTAAAATATCAATAAAATTCAGCCCCCCATTTTGATTTTCAAACAGCTGCCGGCTGCTACTAATTTTAGCAGCCCATGTGTTTGACTTTCAACAATCTCCCACTTGAAGACTGATTTTAATCTGTCTTCACACCTCGATCAATGCAACAGCATTTCTACTCTTGTTACTGTAGCATGCCAACTGAAGTTGAACACAACTTCAGTTTGTCCGTAGTCACCGTCCTGTAAACCCACTTGTTATGGACTGCTTTCTTGCCTGGTGGTAATTCAACTAATTTCCAGGTCTGATTTGACATAAGCGAGTCCATCTCATCTTTCATGGAAGACTCCCACTTGACTGAATCCTCCACCTGCATTGCTTCATCATAGCACTCTGGTACACCATTGTCAGTCAGCAACAAGTAGTGCAAAGAAGGAGAATAACGTTGGGTTGGTTTAGGAATTCTGGAGGAGCGTCTTAGTTCTGGTGTGCCCGGTTCTTCTTGAACTGCTTCAGGACTGATCTGAACATCATTTCCAGAAATCTCCTCAAACTCAGCAAATTCCTTTGTTTCAGCTTCGACATTGGAGCTACTTGATTATACGGTTGACCTGTCTTTGTACATCACATTCTCATTGAAAATGACATCTCTGCTTCTGATGATCTTTCGATTTTCGTAGTCCCAAAATCAGTAACCGAACTAATCACTACCATAACCAACAAAAACGCATTTGTTGGACTTGGCATCAAGTTTACTTCTTTCAGCAGAGTTCATGTGTACATAATAAATACAACCAAACAATCTTAAGTGTGAAAGGTTTATTTATTTTCTGCTCCAAACTTCCTCTGGTAATCCGCCATCCAAGGGAACAGAGGGCCCACGGTTGATCAGGTAAGCTGCAGTGTTAATAGCTTCATCCCATAGAAATTTGGGCAAGTCGATATGTATCCTCATGCTTCTGGCACGTTCATTCAGAGTTCTGTTCATGCGTTCTGCTTTAGGTGTTCATTTTAGACTCTCCAAAGAATAGTCACCAAAGACGGAGGAAGAACGTGCACACATGGTGAAGGTGTCGTATGCCTCAACGATTGGAAGTCTGATGTATGCCATGGTTTGTACCAGACCAGATATTGCTCAAGCAATGGGAGCTGTTAGCATGTACATGAATAATCCGGGCAAAGTACACTGGGAAGCAGTCAAATGGATCCTTAGATATCTGCGAGAAACTACAAACAAAACACTTTGTTTCAAAGGTGGATATACGATACTGACAGGCTATGTATATGTTGACTTAGCCGAAAATGTTGACATCAGAAGAAGCACTACAACGTATGTCTATACTCTAGGAGGTACTGCAGTGAGTTGGGTTTCTCAACTACTGAAGATAGTTGCTCTCTCCACAACTGAAGCAGAATATGTCACTGTTACGGAAGCCAGCAAGGAGATGGTTTGGCTCCAAAGTTTCTTGGAAGAGTTAGGCAAGAAACAAGAAAACAATGTCTTGTATTGTGACAGTCAAAGTGATATCCATCTAGTAAAGAATCCGTCTTTTCATTCCAGGACAAAGCACATACAATTGCGATATCATTTTATCCGGTCTCTTGTGGAAGATGGGATTTTGAAACTTGAAAAGATTAGTAGAGCTCAAAATCCGACAGACATGTTGACAAAGACGGTGACTACGGACAAACTGAAGTTGTGTTCTGTTCGTGTGTTGTGAGTATTATAAATTATACGCAAATAATGTGCAAGTATACACAATCGCTCAAGTAATATAATGATGAGTGAGTATCGTCTCCACAGGGATTGGGTGAAATTACAAAAGTCTAACCAAAGCAATGCACTATTCTATCTAAGTATAGTTAGTCTTGATATATACAAATGTCACGACAATATAAATGTGTATGCTGGTGTATATGGAGTGATGGTCTGATGGTGTAGCAAATGGAAATGCAGTGGCAATGATGGATGTTTAATGTTGAGTATGGTGAAATGTCAAGGCAATGAAAAATGGTAAAAACAGTAAATAAAGATAAAATGAAAAGAAAATAATCCTCACGTGACAAGCTTCTAAGAGAATGAATGATAGGGATTGATCTACGGATGCTAAACTTATTTCTCAAGTATATTTAATCTAACTGGTCTTTACTTACTCGAAAGGCTTTCCTAAAGTGTTCTAAAGAACCTAACAGAATAGGATGCCAAGGCATCTGCTCTCACTCAACGATGTTGGCAGCCTACCCTATTGATAAAGACACCCTTTTTAGTCGTTGAAATCCTATCCTAGCCTCTTCCGAGATCTAAGGGATTAAGTTATAATATTCCTAGGCCGGTTCAAAACCCCTTGAAAATACTATAACTCATTGCTTATGAGGATCTTATCTTGCGTTTCTTCCGAATACTTACAAGTATTTTTAGTCTAGGATTCTTCCGAATACCTAACCTTCATCTAAGAAATAGACATTTCCATGCCTCTTACAAGCCTAGATGGTGAAGCATTCATAAGCAAAGCAAATAAATAACCAAAATAAACTTAAATATACCATTAAAAATAAAGTTCAAACAACCATTAAATCAACCACCACCAAATAAGTTAGTTCATGGTGGAGTTCAAAATATCCAAACACAAAGTCATGAAAATATTTGTTCCAACAACCCACAAATAAATATAAAATAGCAGCAAAAAGGGAAATTGAGAAGAAGCCTTCGACGCGCCACTGGATGTCTCCTCTCGGCCACCGTGAACCACCTAGCTCGCTAGCTCCTTTCGGCTCCTAGCTCGCCACTCCTTGGAGCTTTATCAATGGAGGAATATCCCAAGGAAGAAGAAAGGAAAAGAGAAAATAAAAATGTGATTTTTGCTACCGTATGTGTCCTCATCTCTTCTTTTTTTTCTCCCCCATGAGGTGTCATGTATAATAAAAAAAATATTTAGGGGTAATGATGAGGTTGTTGGGTGCAAAATACCCGTTATACCCCTAGAATCACATGTTGGGTGTGAACCTTATCCTCCAAGTGGCAGTGGTCCTTTGGAAGCTCTGGTAGGCGGTTACAGCAGTCCTTCACGTGCAGAGACAGCTGTCCAGTGCCAGCTGTCCTTATGCAAAATTTTTTGTTTCTTTTTCTGTGCCGGAAATGCCAAGGCATTTCAATCTGCTTTAGCAACGTGTGATGCCGCGGCATTACTTCCCAAAGAATCCTTTTTTCTCGCTATTCCCTGCACACCACAAACAAACTGCACATTTCCTCAAACAGCCCATAAGAAAAAAATAGCACAACCACCAGAAATGCACTATATGCAACTACATGATCCTAAAATGCCTAAAATGAGCTTTTAAACAAACAATAACTTAAGTGAAAAAGGCCTTAAAAGTAGACTTTTTAGGAAGTTAACATGTTCAGCTTCAGTTGGCATGCTAGAATAAAAGACCAGAAATACTGCTGCATTGATGTGTGAAGACAGATTAAAATCAGTCTTCAAGTGGGAGATTTTTGAACATATTAGCAGCCGACGACTTTTATTATGGTCAAAAAAGGGGTTGCTAAAGGGTTTTTATTATTTTGTAATAGGGATAATTACAAAATTAAGTCATTAAACTTTAGGGTATTTTCAAAGATTAGTCCCTAAGCTTCAACTATAAATACCCTAGCTCATTTAGCTTCAAAATCATCCCAAATCATTTCTTTCTCCCAATACTAGAGGGCTTTCTTGTGAGTAGTGAGTGTTTTGTAAACACTTGTAAATTTTCTCTATTAGTAAAAGATTTGTAGCAGTCCGGAGACGTAGGCAAAATTGGTTGAACTCCGTTATCAATTTTGGGTATTATTTTTCCGCTTTTATTTCACATTCTCACTAATCTGGTTATATGGAAATTACTTGTACTCGGGTTTATTTCCCAACAAGT